AGAACTGAGACGACCCAAAGCCAGTAGCCAGGAGCTTCTGGATCTCCCATGTGGGTACATAGGCCCAAGGACTTGAGCCATCCTCACCTGCTTTCCCAGGCCACAATCAGGGAGGCTAGGTGGAAAATGGAACAGCTGGGACTTGAAGCAGTGCTCATAAGAAATGCTGGCACTGCAGACGGAGGCTTAGCCTGCATGCCACAGCGCTGGTCTGAAGGTGCTTAATGCAATTTTTAAGACCCTACTAAATAAGTCACCAGCCAAGCATTTGAAGGGTAGGGGACTTTCAGGCTGGGTGCCCTTCCCCTTTGGTCTGGCTAGTTGTCATAACCCTCTGTCATTTGTCTTCTCAGATGCTTGAGTCTGCACATTGTTGTAATGTTTCGAAATCATGCCGAGGTTAATTCAGATGGAAGCCAACTCTTACTTCCCATTTCTCTCCTGTCCAGCCACCACAGGACCATTTTTACTCCCTTAAGAAAAAACCATTACCCTTATTTTTGATGGGTTTGCCTAATATTAGAGTTAAGGCCTGATAGACTAATAATGCCAAACAAGGGAGTGCAGTCAGCCATAAGTGCTTGGGTGAAAAGGGCATGACCCAGCCTACTCCAAGTACAAAGATGTTTAACAATAGAATTACTAGGTACTTGTAGCCCTGCGAGGACTTCTCCGACACAGTGGCAGACATGCCCTTTAGGGCCGAGGTGGCCTCACTCATGCCTGACAGCACACAGAACAGGGAAGGGCCAGAGGCTTCTTTCTCTGCTCTGCTGATCTGACGCACACACTCGCTGCCCAGTGTACCCTGCGTGAAGCCCCAAGCCCCATTTCTCCACTTGTATCCTTAAGGCACATAGCTTCTGCCCTGCTAATCGGCTTGTTCAGTGGAGTTGTCAACTTTCAGCAGATTTAAGATCTCTACCGATTCTTTCCGTTCGACCCGGCTCAGTCTGAAGGCTCCCATCGGAGTCTTTGTAAACGTTTCTATTCACCTTTCATCTCCAATTGCTTCCCTGAAGTGGGACGCATCTAGATAAGGATCTGCCATTCCAATATTTTTGTTTAATTAATGCTTTCAACTATTGTGTGCCATTGAAAGCAAACATTTTCAATATTATATAGATGAAAAAGGTATTTTACGTTGCTTATCATCATTTTTCAAACGCATTACTTGGAAATGCAAACAGAACAAAAACTGTAAACTGGATAGCCCCTATTCAATCCCTTGAAATGTAAAACACAGGGTAAATGACTAGCAATGTGGCTGGTTAGTGAATGCTATAAAGCCTGTTATCAGTATCAGCTCAGTAAAGTGTTGTTACACATGGCTATGTCTGAGCTGTCAATGGCAGTGGTACTCAGCCAAGGTTGGGATATCTACTCGTCTCTGAACGCCTCTGATGTGGTAACCTGCACTGAGCATCTTCACCCTTCAGTGAGGCTACAAGGCAGGCACAGCTCAGCCGGCACTGCCTTCCTCTACAGGACACAATAGGCTGAAGAATTTGCTGTAAATTCAAAACATGGTGGGACAACATGTATGAGCTAGTAGTTTAGATCGCCCTATTTAGATTTTTTAAAATGCAAATACACGTTTATGCTAAAGAACTAAGGAAATATAACTTCATGAAAAAAATTTCTAGTAAGTCTGCTTAGTAGAGATCATCTTGACTATTTTACTGTTTCTTTCTGTATGTAAATCCTCCTTACTTATAAGCTACACTGCTTTGTAACCTGCTTCTTTTAATTAGTGGTATGTTATGAATGTTTTTAATATTCTTCCACAATACACCAGTTTCAAAAACACTTTTCTTCCCCCTATGGCATGCAGTATTTAAGAAATCTCCATAACACTGGAAACTTTGTGTTGAAGTTTTTTGTAATAACTGGCCTGTGTATTTGTTGAGCTAAATCCTTATGTATCACATGTGTCTGCATTTTGTTTCCAGAAATGACAGCATTGCTGAGTTCATTTCCACATGCCATAATGAAAGTGCTAAGAAAAATCCTGACGCCATATAATGCCTTCTTAGAGTTGGAATTATTGTTTTCTTGATTACTGGTGACAATGAAAGATGACATTAAACTTTTTCATTGTATAGTCTGAATTTTCCTTCCGTTTTTGCTTTAAATATTAAATGTTATTGAAATAAGAACGAAACTTTATGATTACATGTTGTTACTGTATTTCCTCCAAAGGAACAAAAACGTAATTGTGGTATCAAATGACTTACAGAATGAAAAACAAAATAATTGGATGAGACACCCAGGGCCATCAGATCTATCTCCATGGTGCTTGTCTCCATGGTACATAGAATCATGAGGTTCTTCTAAACCTATTTCTTTTCAAGGCTGCATTTCATTTATTTATTTATTTATCGTAGGAGGTTTACTCCAGCGGGGGCAGGAATGAGTGCTGGGGGAGAGTGGTGGAGATCATCAGGGAAGAGCGGAAGGGCAAGGGAGGCAGGAAGGAGAAGAGAGCACATTTTATTTATTTAAAAAGCAGAGTTCCAGAGAGAGAGATTGATTTTCCATTCACTTTTCCACACCGCCCCCCCCCCAGTTGCAGCTGGTCAGCATGAAGCCAGCAGCCAAAAGCCTCGAGGGTCTCCCACACAGGTGCAGTGAACTGAGCACTCAGGCCATTCTGCACTGCGTCCCTGGGTGCATGAGCTGAGATCTGGATAGGAAGTGGAGCGGTTGGGACTTACACCAGCACCCATAGGCGATGTGGGCATTACGGGCAGCTCCTTTACCAGGGATGCACAACACCTGCTCTAATTTTCTTGTCTAAGCCTGTCTCCTCCCCAGTAACCTAGGGAGTTGAGTTGGGGAGTACTGATCCTCCAGGTGGCTGCATTTGGAAATGGGACCAGAGAAAGGTCACAGGGTGAGGCCTTTATCTGACCTAATAGAGACATGCCTGGTGTGATGGCTCAATGGCTATATCCTCACCTGGCAAGTGCTGGCATCTTACATGGGTGCCGGTTGTGTCCTGGTTGCCTCACTTCCCATCCAGCTCCCTGCTTGTGGCCTGGGAAAGTAACAGAGGACAGCCCAGAGCCTTAGGACCCTGTACCTGTGTGGGAGACTCAGAAGCTCCTGGCTCTGGATCGGCGCAGCTCTGACCATTGAGGCCATTTGGGGAGTGAACCCGCGGATGGAAATCTTTCTGACTTTCCTTCTCTTTGTAAATCTGATCTGCCTTTCAAATAAAAAATAAAGAATTTAAAAAAGAAAAACCTACTAGCATGTCTAAGCTTACACAAAAAAGAGATGACCTGAATACACAGTAAGATGGAAACTCCCCCAGGCCAGAGGAGGCTTCCGAGAGAAACCTACCTTGCCAGCACCTTGATTTTCATTTTCTAGGCTTCATAGTTTTAAGAAAATAATTTTAATCCACTCAATTTGTGACATTTTATTCTAGCAGCCCTTTCCCCCCCTCCCCTGCCCCAGGTAGTTAACTCTCCAAATGCCCACAATGGCTGAAGTTGGAAACCAACTCAAATGTTGAGGGGAATCAGACACCCAAAACCTTCAGCCGTCACTATTATACTCCTGCCTTCTAACAGGAGCCTGGAGTCAATGCTGAACTCAGGTATTCTGATGTGGCATGCAAGCATTTTAATGGGTAGGCTACATGCCCTTTCCTGTGCTTGTCTTCTTATAGGAAATTTTTCCTAAATAACTTCTGTATATCTCATTGGCTGTAATTATGACTGAGGCTCAAATTTAACTATGAGGGAAACTGAGAAAACAAACATTTAGGAGCTGGCATTGTGGTACAGTGGGTTAAGTCATTGCCTCCAGTGCTAGTATTCCATAGGAGCACAGGCTGGATTCCATATTGCTTCACTGCCAATCCAGTTCTGTGCTAATGTGCCTGGGAAAACAGCAGAGGTCCCACGTACTTGGTCCTTTGTCATCCATACAGGATATTCAGATGGAGTCCCTGGCTCCTGACTTCCACATGGCCTGATTCCAGTCATTGTGATCATCTGCGGAATGGACCAGTAGACTCTATATATAACTGTCTTTCACATATATAAGTAAATTAAGAAAAACAAAAAGGAAACCAAGAATTTAGTTCTTCCAAAATTTCTCTTGGAAGTGACAAAGCAGAAAAGGAATGCAAACACCTGTTGGGTCAGCCAGTGAAGAATCTGATGCCTGCAGGAACTCCCAGCTTGGATCGGCAGGCCAGCTAATCTGAAGGATCCTGCTGAGGCCCAGGCTCCATGGTTCATATTTTAGTGACCGACTGTAGTTACTCGTGGACCAACACTATCTACCTGGATTAGCACGCTGAGGTTGCAAATGCTGTATAACAGTATTTAAGGTAGGTTTCCACCAGCATTTATGACAACAAGGCACTACTTCATGCTTTTATTGAGTATATATTGGCTGCATTTTGTTTTGTGTAGGGAAGACACTCGCCTACTTTTCCGTAAGCAGTAACTCTAAGAAAGTTGCACATAAGGTCTGACCTAAAGTGAGGCTTTTGGTGGAACCTGACTTTTTCTGCAACTGCTCTGGAATAGTTTTATACCTTCTATCACTTACCATAAGCTGGTAATGTTGAAGTTTCAGCCCACGTTCGCTGGTTTTATTTCAAGGTTTTTGTTTTTTCATATACATATACATAGGACATTTAAAATAAGAACAAGTCAACTGATTTACTGTTTTGGAGACCAAAGAAAATGTTCTCCTGTGAGGTACTGTACCATGTAGTAGCTATGAGCCTTAACAATACACCTATTGAAACACAAGTTACTGACGCATGCGCTCTGTTCCCTGTTGGAAGCACTGCCAGTTCAAACAGATCACACAGATAATTCATCCGAGACACAGTTCCCTAAATAAATGTGTGCTAAGAGGCTAATCTCAGCCAATAGGTTAATAAAGCAAATCTTACATGCTCACTTCCACAGTTGTACTACCTATATATGTGAACTTAATTTAGAAAAAGTTAAAAGATCATCCACAAAGTGTTTTCTGCTTCTGTTACATTCTATATTTTATTAATGTTGGCCACATCTGAAGTGCATTACGTCTATTCACAAAAGCTTTAAAAACGATAAAATGTAAACTTAAAAAGATCACAGACTCACTCCACGTCTGTGAAATGCAGAACACTGATCATCATGGAAGCCAGGGAGGACACTGAAACAGGAGGGGAAAGATGGCATGCAACATGGCAACAACACAACTACTGCTGTCCTGAACAAATAATTTATTAACTGGGTAGAATAGTGGGAGTAAAATGCATTATAAAAGTAAAAAAAAAAAAGCTGAGTTCTCTCTCTGTGTATATATATGTGTGTGTGTGTGGTTTGCCTAATTGGCAGTTTTCTTTGCTCATTCAGAACTTTAAATACAATCCAAAAATCCAGATTTTAAAAGCATGTGACTCATTAGAAAACAAACGCACAGCACAATCTGGAATTTGACAAATCTCTGTTCCACTAGCATCAAAATGACATTGATTTAAATGACCTTTCTTTGTGAGCCTTTTGTGAAGCCTAGAATAATTTCAAAATGGATAAGCAGACTATTATATTTATTTTTGTCAGTAAGGACACTAAGCACATTTTCAGTGCATTATGTGGAAAATTTTTTTTTTTTTTGGTCAGGACGTCCCTGTACATTTTGGCAAAGATTCAGAAATTGTTGATGCTTTGTAAAAAGCAGTCTCTTTTTAGAATAAAGGTTACCAAAAGCCACTGGATCCACGGATCTTCATCAGCAGAATTTTGAACAATGCCCATGTTCACATGTATACCGAGACACTGACAAACTTTTAGATAATAAAGAAAAAAAGGGAGATTGTTATTCTAGCTCTTCAGTTAAGTTTTGCTCACATTTTAGAAAGCATGTGTAGTCCAACGTATCAACTGGGATTTAAAAATGCCAACACAATTATAATGTATTTTAGTAGTAATATGCAAAACAGTAGAAATTGAAAATGAGCAACTTCATACTATAACAATGAAACAAGGCACTCTATATGCACACATAGAGCTAAAGGAAGCATAATTATTATTATTTTTTTTCATAAAGCTGACTTAGAAACCTGAGGAGACTTTTGTAAAATGGTAAAGGCACTACAGAATCCATTCTCCAATTCCATCTACTAAAAAAATTCCACCAATTCCACTTGGCACAAACAAGTTTAATTATCATAAAGTGCATCACTTGGATAAATATATTAAAAAAAAATCAGCCACAACACAATATTAACACCACCACATATACAGAAATAAATGCAATACAAGGAGTCAAGCTAGTATGGAACTTTGCAGTATGTATGGCTTACTGGTTTTTGTGTAACTTTTGATTTGCCTTGATGCTATGATATATATTTAAAATAATATGCCTTGATTAGCAAAAAGAGGTAGTGTTCTCAAAGAGGCAAACTCGCTGATTTGCAGGCAGAGATCTAGGAGAAAGACTTTGTGGCTCTACAGAATATTAACAAACTGGGACACACAGGATCTCGATAGGACAAGTCAGTTTTTAAAGTCCAGGCCAGTTGATCACATCAGCTACATTGTTACAGGTCTTTCAAATAGTTTCCCTTTGGTGCTGCAGAGTCATCTCTTTTTAAATAACATTAATATTTCAAATAATCAACTTTTATTTAGAGGTAATAAGCATATTTAAAACACTACTCATCTTTATCTTTACTATGATGTTCACTGATTTCAACCATTAATAAGAATGCCATGTCAAAGCTACAAAAACACATGTATCACCCAGACAGCAACATGCAATTTAATTTCTAACTAATATAACTGTTGACTTAACGTGCACACATGCGCGCGCGCACACACACACACACACACACACACTCATACATGCACAAATGGGTTTAGAACAATATACAGATACAACACGATAATAATTTATGTACAATATTGAAGAATCTGGGCCATGGTAACAGAATTCTAATTACATATATTTCTTAGTGTATTAAATATGGGCTGGACAAAGAGCAGCAGTGAATAGATTTCCTATTTTGATAATTTAAAAATGTTTCTTTATGTACAGTTATACGTACACATCCTTACTCTCGTAAGTATCTCACAGTCCTTTTCTCTGTTTGCCACTGGACCCCAGGCTTGCCCAAGCAATACAACAGAGGAGCTGTGTGTGACGCATCAGTCCTCTGCAGCACTGTACGCCACTTCTGCCACTTCTATCTCTGATATTGCACTGTCAGGCTGACTAAGAGTTAAGCTCGGCTTATTGCCAGTTCTGCAATAAAACGAAAACAAACAAACAAAAAAATGAAAAAGGAGGGAGAGAATATGTCAATCAATGAACTGAGTGCATGCATGCAATATTCTATCTTTTCAAATCTTTTACGTAAAAAATACTTTATCAGAAATTTATTATTTTTGAATTATTTTTAGTCTTCACCTTTAGCAACATGTTTCTTTTACCTTTTAGTACTTCAAAACTACTATTCAACTTTCAAATCCAGTATATAAAAATATTTACCAGCATGCAACTTGTTCTCATATTTAAAACTCAACCGTCACTGAACTAACAACTATCACGAATTATATGCAATAAAAATTCTATGTGCTATCAAATACATTTTCTCTTCAATAAGTTGCAATTTTGTGTCCTACTTTTTGAATGGAATAATCTTGGTACTGAGGGAGCTTAGAGTAATTTAAGATTAAAAAAAAAAAAAAACAGTGAAATAACCAGGTGAGAGCCAAGTTACTTCAGACATGGCTTCCACGTAATAACAAAATGGAGAACACCACATTCTTAGGGAGAATCTAGAACAGCTATAGTTCTTTCTGATTCACAACACATTAACACTGATTTCACACAAACACATTCTAGAGTATTTACATTCTAGAGTATTAGAAACCCTTCCCTCCAGTTAGCTCAAAGCTAAGGCTGTAATAAACTAAGCATTACGTACCCAGGCTCTTCATCCAAGGCATCCTGCCCACCCTTTGGTGCAGAGGCCTCTAGCTTCAGGACCTGACTGCCTTCTGTTGTTGAAAGGTACAGCAGTGACTTTTCATGGTCTAGAGACAAAGTTCTAGAAGCACGGTAGAGCAAAAAGTTACTGTTATGAATAAAAGAGGAATATGCTTAAGGTTGTAAATATCTGTAACCTTCAGTTGTCTTTCATTATTAAATGTAGTCAGACAGCTAATAAACAGTTTAGTCTGGAAATCAACAAATTTTATCTACCATTGTTATAAAAAAATTTTTAGCTTCAATTTCATATCTTTTGCTGACAAGGCAAACTACAGCTTTCAAATGTGAAAAGATGACTTAAGGGAGGGAAACACAGTTACCATTTTGTCAGGTTAAAACAAATGAGGCTGATCCTGTTGAATATCTAGAGGCTTATTTTTCTTAAGATTCCCATCCTTCCATGCTTAGCATTCTAAGTAATCAAAAGATAATTTTCCCAATTTACAGGATGTATGTCAGGAGTGTACAACTTTCAGAATCTGAGATTTCCTAAATCATAAAAAGGTAGAGAATGTATCCCTGAGTGCTGAGAGTCTGACTAATTAGATGCAGGCGTCACAACACACCCACCTGACTCTGCTCGCTAGCGTGTCTATGTGAAGTTGCTGTTCATGGACCAGCTTCCTCAGCGACTCTATCTCCTTCTGTTTCTCAAGTAGTTCTTTCTGTAAATGGTAGTTAGTCTCTTCTAAAGTTTCACAGAAGGCCTTAAAGGAAAAGACAATGCAGAAAAACAAAATTATTTATGCAATATCTTTCTGAATCTAGAAACAAAGAGAATCAAAATACATATACAGCAGAAAAGACTTGCTCCACTCTCATCTTTTCTTTTTAAAAGATTTCATTTTTACTTGAAAGGCAGAAAGCTACATACAAAGAGGAGACAGATCTTCCATCTGCTGATTCATTCCCCAAATGGCTATATTAGAGCTGAGCTGACACCAGGAAAACCAGGAGCTAGCAACTTCCCCTGGGTCTCCCATGTCGGCGTAGGGCCAAGGACCTGAGCCGTCCTCCACTGCTTTTGCATGCCATTAGCAGGGAGCTGGAATGGAAGTGAAGCAGCTGGGACATGAACCAGTGTCCACATGCCACGCTGCCACCACAGACAGGCTTAGTCTTTATGCCCCAGCTCCCTAACCTCATCTTTAAGTCCTTGCTATGGCTCTGGCAGTCCCCACATACAAGGAGGCCTTACATCCACAAGTGTTTTCTGTTGAGAATTAGTGCAGTAGTAAGCTACCATGACTGAAGTCTATACGTTATAGTCATCCCCTAAATACAGAACTGGCAAGAAAATAATTCCCCTTAAGCTATTTTTGCTCAGTTCTGAATGGCTACATTTAAAACAAACTGCTGAGACCATGTGCTAGCTCAGTGTTGGAAGGCTGCAAAAGACTTCTTTGACCCCATTCAACAGTGCTGTTAAATTATCACTCAAAACTAAAATCTTATTTTTTTTTTTACCCTGGATGATAACTAGTTAGTTCAGTAACTAAATGCAAAATCATAGCATCACAAAGAACGATGCCATGAAAATATTTGACCATTTAACCTGAAAAAGCTTTCTGATCTATGCAGTCAGTTAATTATTCCAAGTTATCCATCTAACGGCAGTGAGCTAAGCCTTACTGTTTCCTCTGCTTGAAGCCCTCACCTTGTGAAAATCTTCTACATTATGATGCTATTGCTGCCCCTAAGCCAGCAAGTGATTCGTGATATTCACACACACACACTCTCTCTCTCTCTTCCTCATTTCCAAAATCCCAGCTGTATTTGTATGTTAGGTTAAGCTCAATCTCCTGAAAGTGTATCTTATCACCTAATACTCTTTCCCCCTCATTCTTCTGACCTTTATATTTCTAAACTTGTTTGAAGTAAACCTTAAAACACTATAAATTATCTTCTCCACCCACCTGATCACATCCCTGTAGCTCCTGATTCATCTTTATCCTTTCAAAATGAATCAAATTTATGATACTGAGCATGACTGTTTTTGTTAATCTCCAGCTTAGCTCTTTCCTGATTACACAGACATTATTCAAATACCTATTGATCCTCCTCAACTGAATGGACTAACAGTAAACACAAAACAAAACAAAACAAAAACACAACCCACGTTCCCAAGGGATGAGGTATTTGGTGTAGTGCTTCCGATGCCACAGGGACATGGACATCCCATCCAGGATCTCCTGGGTCTGGCTCCAGCCCTGCCTGACTTGAGCACCCGCTCGTGTGCACTCTGGGAAGCAGCTTTCCCACACGGCAGCCCCAGGATTGAGTATTCCTGCCTATGGACATTGGCCTTGGCTGTTGTGGGTGTTTGGAGAGAGAGCCAGTAGATGGGGAAAAAAAAATCTCTGCTTCTTTCTTTCAAATAAATACAGTGACTCGAACAGAAATGCAGATAAAGTAAAAAACAACAACAAAAAACCACACACACACACACAAACCCCAAAACTCCCTTCCATGGGAACACAGGATCTGTTACCCAATCCTTACTCCATAAGGCATGCCTGCTGACTTTTCCTACTTTCCTGCTTTGTATAGCGCATGGGTAACTCAGCTTTTCTATTTTCCATTTCTCTCCTTCATAACACACTGATGTTGTTTTTTGTCATTTTCTGTGTCCACTTCCATTGTAATGAAGTCTTTCTATACCATCAGTAAACTTAACTGGTTTACCTCTATTCTCACTGACACTTTGCTAATCCAAGTTGCGTCTCTTATTAAACAGTAAATCTGAGCATGTTACTGGTGACTCATCACTGAGTACAGGACAAGGTCAAGCACCAGATTTGGGAAAAACATCACTTCATAATGTGATACAGGTTTTTCACCCCAGCTATACAGCTTGCTCCATTATATGTTTTCTTCTGGTCCTTCACACACTCCATGTTCCAACAAAACTTCTTCAAGTACCACTAATATTTTTACGCTGGACAGGAATATGCTGCTTAAATCGTTTTGTGACTGGTTCTCTCACCTAAACATACAAGATCTCAAACATCCCCTCATTAAAAGAAATGAACATATTCCCATCTTTATGAAAAAAAAAAAAAAGGTTTTCATACATTTGACCTACCATCATAGCAAAAAAAAAAAAAAAAGAATAACTGACATTAATAAAATTATACTTTAGTAAATATTAAAATAGTGTGGGCATTAAAGATTCAAATATCAAAACATATTTACTGAAAGAACTATTAAATCACAATTTATTTAACTGAATCATAAAAGAATGAGATGGAAGGAGAGATGGCAAATGAAGGAAAAGTATTAAACGCCAAGGTCAATGAAAAGGAGCACTGACTGGATGTCACGATAGCTAATCTCAGGAAGACTGTAAACAACTTGATTCTAAAATACCAAATAACTATGGCAATTAAATAAAGGATGATAATTATAGAATTTAGACACATAAGAAGAAGAAAATGGGAAAAAGACTTGTAAGTAACATAAGGAAAGGAATGAGAAAAACTCAGTATTCGACTCAAGTGGGAAGGAGAAGTGCTGAAGTGCAGAAGTTGCCACTTGTAACACTGACATCTTTATCAGCGTGCCAGTGAAGTTCTGATCCAGCGTCCTGATAAGACATTGGAAGATGGCTCATGTAGTTGGGGTCCCAGCCCTGCAGGAAAATGGGCGGAGTTCCTTACTCCTGGTTTTAGCCTGGCCTAAACCTGGCCGTTGTGGCAATCTGGGAATGAACCAGCAGCTGGAAGCTCTATTGCTTGCTCTCTGTCTTTCCCTCACTTTGCCTTTCAAAAAAAAAAAAAAAAAAAGTTGAGGTGGGAGAGGATATTTTGCTTACTGGGAAAGATGGCAGTGAGGATGTATGCAGCCCACACAGGAGTGTCTACTTCCAATGCCAACTGCACATCAAATTCTGCTTCCTGCTGTGCAGACTGTGGACAACTTAGTGGGTTCCTGCCACCCATGTCAGGAAACCAGGTTGCATTCCTGCCTCCTTAACCAGAGGTCATTTCAGGCATTTTGGGAATAAACCAATACAAATTCTAGTCAAATGAATAAATAATGAATTTTCAAAAAGTGAGTAAATGAAAGACATAAAGTGGCGGAAATGAACACAAGTATGTCTGGAATTCCAATCAGATTAACTCAACAATGAAAAACACCTTTTCCCCACACCTGTCTCAAAAACCAAAAATATAATTCTATGATATTTACAGAAGAGATATTTAAAATATAAACATTAACTTACATTTATCAGGCAAATGTTTTCTCCTCCTTCCCATGCAGAGTTTTAATTGTCTTAATAGCTGAATCCCTGCACCTCAAGGTGCCTGGCAGGTGGACACCTAGGATGCTGTTTCCACAATGTACAAGTCTATTTTCCAACCCAAGAATAACTCAGCACAAATACCAATACTATGGAGGCTAGGAAACCTTAACTTAAACCAACTTCTTTTAGCCTATTTTGGGGGTGGGGAGCAGAGGATGGTTTGTGAGCAAGAGGCTCACAAGTAGACAAAGAGATGGGAGAATACAGCAGAAACCAAAAGTTGCTTGATACATGACACATATTTGAAAATGATCTTAATCTTCAAAGCATTCGTTGGCCATGACCAGAGTAAATTTTTTCTTAGAAGATTTCTTTTACTTATTTGAAAGGTCCAAAGCCAGAGGTCAGAAGCTTTACTGGGTAAAGCTTCAGAAGATTTACTGGGGCTCAAGGATTTAGGCCATATTCTGCTGCACATTAGCAAGGAACTGGATCAGAAGTGGAGCAGCTGGGGGTCAAACCTGTGCCCACATGGGATGGCAGCATTGTAGGCGGCAGCTTAACACGCTATGCTACATCACAGACAAATCTTACTAAATTGAGGTATTTAAGTAAAAATTCTGAGCAAATATTAGCTAAAAATTAAGCTGTGCAAAAACAGGATGAGTAAAAGAAAGCAAGTAGACACTTTTGTATATATACTTAATTTATTTGTATGTGTGTGTGTGTGTGTATAGGAAATTTATTTGAAAAGGAGAGTTTTAAAGAGAGATGGATGGACAAAGACATATTCTATCTTCTGGCTGTAATGGCTGGGACCAAGGCTGGGTGAGGCCAAAGCCATGAGCCTGGAACTTGATTCAGGTCTGCCATCTAGGTAGCAGGGCTCAAGTACTTGCATCATTTCCTGTTGCCTTCCCAGGCGCATAGATAAGAAACTGGGAGGGAAGTAGAATAGCTAGGACTTTGACAGGTGCTCCTAGAGAATGCCAGAAGTGCAGGTGGCAGTTTACCTCCCTGAGCCACAACACCTGAAGGAACTAAAACAACAGACTTAAAGGATAATTATAACAATTAAGCAAATATAGAACTTTAGTAGAGAATGACCCCCCCCAAAATTGTGGGGGTGGGTACCACACGATGGCTCAATTGGTTAATCTTTATTTGCAAGCGCTGGCATTTCATTTGGGCATAGGTTTGAGCCCCAGCTGTTCCACTTCCCATCCAGCTCCATGTTTACTGCCTGGAAAGGCAGAGGAGGTTGGCCCAAAGCCTTGGGACTCTGCATCCATGTGGGAGACCCAGAAGAAGCTCCTGGCTCCTACTTTGGATGAACCCAGCTCCAGCTGTTGCAGCCATTTGGAGAGTGACCCATTAGAGGGATGCTACACTACATTAGATCTAACAGAAAAATCAATCACTTAACACGAAGAAAGAAATTATCCAATATGCAGAACAGAG